GAGCCCCCCTCCCCCTTTGCTCCAGGGCCGGGTTTCCAGGGACTGAGTTCTGAGCCCAGGCCAGGCTGGGGGCTCAGGAGCAAGAGCAGAGGGATCAAAGACCCAAAATGTCACCACCCCTTGATTCTCTGCCACGACAGGCCTCACCACTAAGGCCTGTGGCATCAGAGACACACGCGGGGCAGGGGAGGCACTGAAGCCCCCCCCTTGCCAGGAACACCAGCTCCAGGAGCTTTCCCCACTTAACCCTCCGGAGCCTCTGTTTATCACTGGGAACCGGGGTGGCCGTGCTGTGCTGAGGTGGCCTGTGTCTGCACTTGGCAAACCCCTGAGAAGTGTCAGCTCTCAGATCCTCCCAAGGAGGCAGGTACTGTTATCACCCCCATCCTGCAGAAGAGGAAATGTCTCAGAACGGTTAAGAGCTCCCCCAAGGTCCACAGCAGAGGGGAGGCAGAGCAGGGCCAGCGCCGGGGGTCTGTGCTCCTAACCAGCCAGGTGACGACCGGCCCAGAGCACGGGCTCAATTAGCCGGCTCCATTATGACTTCACTGTTCTCTGCAGCCAGGGAGGCGGCCCCCTGGGAATGTGGGATGAACTGGCAGTGCTTCCTCTAACTCATTCCAACGTTAAAAACCGTAAGTAATGCTCAGAACGACCGAGTCTCTGCCTAGCTCTGTGTAAATGTTTCAGCTGCATATAAACAGATGGTATTAGCACTGTTTTCAGGGCTGAGATACCTGCAGGAGGAGGCCTGGGCAGGGCCAGGGCTGAGTGAGTGGCAGCTCTCGGGGCCACTGGAGTGGGAGAGGCAGGAGGGAGGGCCTGGCCCCGGCAGACTCCAGGCTGGCTCCCGGACAGGAGGCCCTGGGCCTCAGCTGGTGCATTTCTCACACCCTCGCCTTCAAAGCCACCCCCCACCCTCCGACTTCCTCCCACACACACACCGCTGCCCAAACCTGTTGCCTCCCTTCTGCCTGGAGCACCCTGTCCACCCCGAGTCCTCCAGCCTGTTCAGTGCTGTGATGAAGGAAGGGACCCAAGGCCACCCCCACCTCACCCCAGGCCCCACTGT